ACAGTCCTCTGAGGTGACATGGTGCTGACATCAAACCTAAGGTCTGGTACCACCCCCATGACCCTACTATCCATCAATTTTCTGTCTTTATTCTGAAGATAAAAACAGGGGTCATTTGGTACTTGACTTTCCCCTTCTGATTCATTTCACCTATTCCCAAATGCTCTCTCTTTAATATCCTGCAAGAGGCAAGTGGCAAATGTTACTGCAAGTGGTAAATGTTCATTCTTTTGAATAGCTGAATAGTACTCCACTGAGTGCTCACTTCCCCAGTCATCTAGGGACTGGTGTTTCAACATTTCACCACTGCAAATATCACTGCAGTTGGGGCAGAATAAAATTTTTGAGCAACTCTTTTCACACTCTTCAAATCTATACCCTGAGGTGGCAATGCCGGAACAGGGGCTGTCAGAGGCCCCTCATACTTCTTTTCCAAAGTCTCAATACCAGTATCTTCCATCCCCACCAAGAGCACACAACTGGTCCTTCTGCTCCAACCTCTCACCAACACTTGCTATCATTCATTAGGATGCAGGTCATTTTCAGGAGGCTGTATCTCACTGGTTTGTGTTAGCCTAACGCAGGGCTTCTCTGGGGAAGTATCCACGCAGATCATCTGCCCACTCTTCCTCTTGTTTGCTCTTACTTGTTGGTTGGAGTGAGCTGTTTATCCACCTTGGGCCTTATCAGATGCATGGTCCGCAAAAGCATTTTCCCATTCCGTAGGCTTATTGTTTATGCTTTCTTCTCAGCTCTCCGAAGGTTGGTCTTTGAATGCAGTCCCAATCATTTATCTTTGATCAAGCTTCCTCACTGTGGAGCTTGCATTTCCAAGAACACTTTCAGCACTGTGGTCTAACTAAGGCTGTTTTTCGTATCCTTTATGGTCCTGGTCTACATCAAGATCTTGAAGTCACCTTGAATGCAATTTTGTGTGTGAGGTGAGGGAGCAGCCATGTTCATTCTTCTCCATGCAGACGTTTAATTTTTCCCAAGATTGTTTATCAGAGATACTCCTTTTCCCCACTATATGATCACAGATCTTCTGACATCATTCATTTCTGAGGTTTATCTCTGGGCTTTTAATTCTTTTTATTAAGTTTGTTTGGGGGCCACACCCAGTGGTACTCAGGGTTTACTCCTGGCTCTCCAGTCAGGGATTACTCTTGGTGGGGCTCAGGGAATCATACAGGGTGATGGGGATCAAACCCAAGTCTTCCCACTGTACTATCTTTCCAGCCCTATATTCCATTAAGTGTTAAGTGAAACGTTATCATCATAAAGTAAGGAAGTAACTTACTTTCTGCGAACTTAAGTAATCAAACTTGGTTCTGTGCCAAGCCCCACTGAACCCTCCCTCCGTGATCAGGCAGAGAGCACTGTCACACACTGTCCTCCCGTTGTTCATCAATTTGCTCGAGTGTGCCCAGTAATGTCTCCATTTTGAGACTTGTTACTGTGTTTGGCATATCGAATACGTCTCGGGTAGCTTGCTAGGCTTTGCCATGGGGGCGAGATACTCTTGGTAGCTTGCCGGGCTCTCCAAGAGAGGCGGAGGAATCGAACCCGGCTCGACCAGGCAGGCTGCACACAAGGCAAATGCCCTACCGCTATGCTATCGCTCTCTGCCTGGGTCATCTGTCAGCAGGCAGAGAGCAACCATTTGCAAAATGTGGAGAATGAAGATTCAGAGAGACAAAGCAATTTGACCAAAATCACTATTCACTAAATGGTGCCATGATAAGAGGCTGGAGTGATAGTACAGCGGGTAGGGCATTTGCCTTGCACATGGCCAACCTAGGTTCGATTCCTCCATCCCTCCCGGAGAGCCCGACAAGCTGCCGAGAGTATCCCGCCCGCATGGCAAAGCCTGGCAAGCTCCCCATGGCGTATTCGACATGCCAAAAACAGTAACAACAAATCTCACAATGGAGACGTTACTGGTGCCTGCTTGAGCAAATCAATGAACAATGGGAGGACAGTGCTACAGTGCTACAGTGCCATGATAAGATAGACATGTCTGACTTTCCTCTATTTAATCACAGTGATCAAAGATAGGAATCTCAGGCTGAGCTAGGGTAAAAAAAATATATCTAAACCCCAAAATGCATTCTGTTTTCCATGTGGTATACAAAAAAGTAGGAGCTGTTGATGATGACAAGTGAGCTGCACTTGTCATTGCACATAAGACCACGTTATCTCATGCACTCACTTAAACACAAAAGAGATCTTGGAAAATACGGACGAGTATTTCTTTCAGAAAGGAGAGTAGCTAAAGAACGTTGAGTTGAGACCAACATTGACCTAACATCTTGACAAACTCCTGGACTGCGAGAATCTATGTTCTATGAAGAGCTTGGGGCGTCTGCTGGGATGATGGGGTTGCAGTGGCCTCAGGTGCAACTGGAGGCACAGCTTTCTGATGATCAGTTCCAACAAGGCATATGTCCAGGCAACGCTGAGTAATTTCTTTTTCCTGAAAAGGGGGCAGTAAGTTTGATGCTCGGGAGACATCAAAATTTAAGAAAAATGTGATCAAACAAAAAAAAGTCCAGGTCAGACTGTCTCAATTTCATGAATTTACCATCAAGCTCATTAGAGTGGAAACAAAATCTAGTTATCTAATCCCATTATTTAAAAACAAAACAAACAGAAAAACAGGGGCTGGAGCCATAGTATTGCAGGTAGCGTGCTTGCCTTGCATGTGGCTGACCTGGGTTCAATCCCCGGCATCCCATATCTCCTGAACACCACCAGGAGTAATCCCTGAGCATCACTGGGTGTGGACCAAACAAAACAAAACACAACTGCAAAAAAAAAAAAAAAAAAGAAAAAGAGAAAGAAAGAAAAATGGGGGATTGGGGAACTTCCAGGGAAAAGAAATCCATGAAACACTTACAAATGCTTTAGAAGTCTCTGGAAGAATTCTGCCAAGTGCCATCTTTCAAGGTATATGTCCTTAAAAATATGTACAGACACATCCTTATATTAGATGTGTTTCAAACACAGATTTGAAACAACAGGAGTGGGAGGGAGTGTATGTGATATGACACACAATACAAGTTCTGTAGGAAACCAACCTCTCAGGGCCTACTGCCCAACATATAGAGAAAACAGGAATCTGCTACGGCACCTATAAAAGCATCTCAAACCCAAATAATTAATTTAAAAAATAAAACCAGCCAAATAATTAATTAAAAAATAAAGCCTGCCATTACTCCATAATTAGGACAAACGGGAAGAGGGGAACAATCGAGGAAGGAGTGGTTCACCTTCTCAGTTGCTCTGGGTATTGATGCTGATTTTTTTTTTCCTAACTACGCTTAGGTCCACTTAAGCCACCTTCACTGATAAAGGTGGATTCCCCCGGATGGGAGGGAGAGTCAACACAATCGTTGTCACTGGGTGAAGGGGGAAAGAAGAGGGTGGAAGAATGTGGGGGAGGGTAGGACTAAGGTGGAGAAACCTGGAGGAAGACAAGGCAGGGCTGCAGGAATGATTCATAGTCAGGGAAACCTAGCCCTGCCCGGCAACTCTCTGAACAGCCCTGGCCTCGATGGTGCACTCCTGTAAACTACCACTGCGCCTTGCTTGGGGCAAAGGGGTATGATCTGGATGCCCATTGGGAGCAGGGTCAGGTGTGGGGGGACATGAGGGGCTCATGGGGCCAGACGCACAGAGCTGAAGCTGACTTCTCGAGGGCTGTGTGGCTCACGGCCTGTGCCGACCCATGGGGAAGCTTTGATGGGAATGGTTATTTATTTATTTATTTATTTATTTTCACTTTTTTGGTTTGGGCGCCAGAGGTGCTCAAGGCTTATTCCTGGCTCTGCACTCGGGAATCATGGCTGACGGGGCTCAGGGAACCAGATTGGAGTGCTAGAGAAGCATCCTGTCCGCTGTACTCTCTCTCCCCAGCAGTACGTTAGGGGAGGCTTTCTAACTAGCAAGGCAGCTCCACAGGGGGCGGGGCAGGGATCCTTGCAGCCATGGGCAACCCCACCTTCTACCTCTCCCAACACCCCAGATCCAGCCTCTCCGGCCTCTCGCCCTGTAACCCCAGAGAGCCAAACGGTCCGTCTGATGCTCTCAGATACCCACAAGGCAAAGGGAATGAAGGTGCTGCTGGGTTCGAGATCAGAGTCTGTTACTCCAAAGATATCCAGGGCTAAATGAATGGGATCTCTTCATGACCAGCAGAAAGCTGTCAAGAGAGGTCAGAGTGCAAGACAGCCCAGAAGTCAGGGAATACAGCCGCAGTTAGCACTAGAATGTGGCAGCCGCTCCGGGTGATGTTTCCGCGGGCCTGGAGCATCTCTGCCAGCCTTCCAACAACTCAAGCACACGATTAAAAATGCAATTGTAGTTTCCTACAATTGCATTTTTAATATTTTCTATTGTGTGATGTGTTCAAGCTAACTGATGCAATGACCTCTACTCTCAAATTACTCAAATACAGGTTTCTGTGTTCCACATCTCCATGTAGTCTCAAACTTTGCACTTTAAAACACAAAAACAAGAATACAGCAAATTTGTGTCTTATTTGTGGCCAATAAGACGCAGGAATAAAGAATCACTTGTTTATAAATACACAAATCAAACGCTACTAACTGACCCAGAGCAGGGCATCAATAACAGTTTAAATAAATAAGGACTTCCATGGAAAACAGAGGAGTGCTGAAGAAAACAAAACACCGATTCTTTTGTTTTGTTTTATTTTTTTGTGTATGTCTGAGCCACACATGGCAATGCTCAGGAATTACTACTGATGGCACTCACGGATCACTCATGGTGGGGCTTAGAAAACCCTACGCGGTGCCACAAATCGAACCCAGGTCGGCCAAGTGGGAGACATACACCCTGCCCTCTGCTCTCTCTCTCTGGCCCAATACCCATGTTCTTTATAAGCATGTGCCTTGACTGATTTCTGCTTCAGTCTTTAACTGCCACCGAGCCCTGGCAGTTAAGCAGAGTAACAGACCTCAAACATCAATCCATACCTCGAATGACGTAATTGTCCAGAGCAGCCTCCATTCTCTTCAGTGCTTCGGTTCTATTAGAACCATACGTGATTAACTGGAAGCAAACAAACAAGCAACAAAAACAGAATTTACACAAGGGTCAACCTTTCAGTACGACAAACAGGTCATCCTAATACAAATTATAATATTTCCCAATGAACTTTCTAGAAATTTCACAGGGCTCCTTCCACTTATCATGTGAAGCAGTTCAACTAAGGTTTTTCTTTAGTAGCTAGCAGAATCGAGTTCACGCTTTTCTCCTATTCTTCACTATCATTGGAAAAAACAATTTGAGACCAAAAAGAAAAATGTAATTGAAAAAAAAAAGAAAGAAAAGAAAAGGGCTAAAGAAATAATACAGCAGGGAGGGCACTTGCCTTGAAAGTGGCCATACATGTTTGATCCCCAAACCCTGGGTTTGATCCCCTGAGCACAGAGCCAGGAGTAAGCCCTGAGCACCACTGGGTGCAGATCCCAAATGAAAAACAACACAAAACAAAAAGCATAAAGAATTTAATAGGAAAAGTACCTAGTGCTAACCATGCGGGCTACACCAGGGACAACTGGCTTTTCCAAACTCAGCAGCTTCTGCTGTCCTGCCTCAGTTTCTCTGCTTCCTGATTTCAGTGAGCTTAACTGACTTCACTGACTTCAACCCTTCTTACGGAAGCGAAGGGATCTTGTGCTAGAAAAACAGGGGGAAGAGCAAAGTTGGAGTGATAGCTCAGTGGGTAGGGCACTTGCCTTAAATACGGCCAAGCCCTGTTCCATCCCCAGCACCTCATACGGTCCCCCAAGCCCCACCAGGAGTGATTCCCTGACAGCAGAGCCAGGAGGAAGCCCTGAGCACTGCCAGGTGTGGCCAGAAAAAAAAATCCTCATAACCATCAAAGAACAATGGAGTATACTGTTCTTTATGACTGTATGCCTACATACATATCTTATACAAACTACCAGTAGGCTCTTAATTATTCACAAAAGATTTTTGTGGTTCTTACATAAGCCAATATGTAGTTTACAGTGATTTGAATGTATCTTATTAGCTCTTCAATATCAAGTCATGTTGAAAATTAATTTGCAGGCTATTTATCTGAAAAGAAATATATTCCTCTAAAAATAGAATCACATCCATTAAATCCTATCTGCAATATTTTTGTATTTTAACAGCATTTCTCTTACCAAAAAAAACCCTAAACCTTATTTTAATGAAATCATTTAAAAGCTTAGGTTTAAAACAAATGTAAATGCTTGTTTCCTGCAACTACATAAAATGTACACTAGGGAAAAACTGCCTTAGGAAAGAGGGTTTGGAAGACCACCTCCTCAATGGACTTCTAATGCTTCTAAGAACATAGTGTTTTCTCAATAAAATCCATAGTTTCACTCCTTAAGTCTGAATTTTAACATTTTAGGGGCTGGAAGGATAGTACAGTAGGTAGGATGCTTGCCTTGCACACGGCCAATCAGGGTTTGATTCCTGACATCCCAGCCTATGCCTCAGTGCCCCCTGCCAGGAGTCAGGGGCCATCCCTGAGCACCACCAGTGTGGTCCCCCCGCCAAAAAAAAAAAAAAACAAGAACATAAAAGAGTTTTACATTTTACAAGATCTTATGATTCTAGATTCAAAATCAGAACATTAAAGTTGTTCACTTACTCTGGAAAGTCAACTTTCAAAAAGGCAGATGGATGTCTCAGAGTCTCACAGAACTTTGTCAGATTTATTTAGGAAATGAGTAATGGTGGAGAGGGAGTGAAGCTGTGACAAGTCCCCGAGGGGCTGTCCCTCCAGCACCTTGTCCCTTGGTTCAGGGATTCTGAGCTCCCATTTAGACAATCAGAAATGAACCAAACTTCCCTTCTGTCTCACAAGGAGCCAGGTGGGGCCAGAGGTCAGAGAAGTCTTTCACTGTGAGAACGTAGGCCCACTGGGGAGTAGGGAGCGCCCAGTGGAAACGCTCTCTTGAGAGACAGAAAATCTGCTTTCACTTTCCCAAGGGGCAAACATACTTGTTTCATTATGACATATGATTCAGATAAAGGCTCAATTCTCAGACCCTAAAACGGCGATTTCATTTAATGCATCCAGGATCTTTAACAGGAGCACACGGAAAGAAAAATCATTAAGAAGAGGAACTAACTTTTGAAATCATTGGATCATAATAAATGCTAATCTCACTTCCTGGTTGGATACCGCTGTCAACCCGCACCTGGAAGACAGAGAAGAGAAAGATTTAAAAAAAAAATTAATGAAATGAACTTTGCAGCGGGCAGATATGTCCCTCCCAATAAGATTCATTTCCCCCACACCAACGGGTCACTTCTAGCTCAGATAACGGTCCCAGTTCCAAAAATACAGAGACAAACTAAACACCAAGAGACTTTATTATCCTGATGTCATTATTATATAACATATTATATTATTATATTGGGTGGTACTAAAAATTATATACACACATATATACGTATATGTAATTATATGTGTATATGCATTATATATGTGTATATATATCATGTATATATGTTTGTTTTTAAATTCTCCCACTACATGAAGAAACTAAGAAATCACCAACAAAGGAAAAAGAAAAACTCAACCAAGCCCCGACTCCGCCAGGCGGGGCCGTGGCAGCTGCTGGCAGATGCCCGCGTGCAGCAGGGGGTGAATCGTGCCCTGGCTGGGAGTTCTCCCACAGTCCTGGCAAGGCCACAGGCCTGGGGCCATCCTACCTGCACCGCTTCCCTTTTCTGCTTCTCACCCTCTCCACAGTAAAGTGCCCCCCCCCCCCCCCGCAGCAACCCCCACTTGCTGTCATCCCCAGAGACGTTAATGTTTACACAGCTTTTCCTGAGGCCCTGCTTTGTGAGGACACGGCTCCAATTAGAGTTTCTGATTCTGTGATTTTCATGGAGGGAAAGGGGGGAGGAGGGGAATAGCACGAGTTCAAAATATTCTTTTGAAGAGCCTGATTGCTGTTACTGAGTCGTGGCTGATTCCCGTTCTCATCTCCCAGTCTGACGGCAGCGGTAAGGCGCAGAGGTCAGCCATGCAAAACTTTCCAAATGAGCAGTTGCCGAGGACGAGATAGTTATTAAATTACGGGGCCTGCGTTTGGGAATCTGAGGTATTTAAGAGCTAATCAAAACGCTGGAGGCTGCTACGTGGGTCTCAGGGGTCTAGAGGATCGAGGAATTTCGTGGAAGCAGCTAGAATGGGCCTTGGGTGGCCAAGGGGAGAAGGAGGAGGGGGAGAGGAGAAAGACTGGGCCCAAGTCTTCACCTGTGGGAAAGAAGCCTTTTAAAGGAACAGCCGCTCATCTGTCTGCAGCAAGGCAGAAAAAAGGTCAACCCAGCGGCTGTTAGGCCTTTAATATTTTAATTTAGGCAATTATCAAGGGACCACATGTAGAAACTCTTGTCTAGGATAGCCACATGAGGGAATGATGATGGCTTTATTATATGGTGCCATCAAAAGATAAAGCACGGTTGCATTCTCTTTAAAAAAAAAAAATCAGTGTTACCCTGTAAGATTTTAGAAGCTATTAGAACTACCAGAGTGTGTTTATTCCTGCATTTGCAAACACACATGCAAATAATGACTAAAGGTGTTTGCATTCACGGATAGGAAAATCTGAATTTTTAAATGCAAGTCATTCAATGGAATTAAAAATATGGTTAGCTCACTTAAAACAAACTTCAGGGTCACAAGCTAAAATTCTATGAAATTTCATGTTTATGAAAACTAGAAAATATAAAAAGGGGACATCTGTGGAAACTCTAAAATCTTGATCTAATTCCTCACTACCTTTCAACAGCCCCAAAAGAGCAATAGACAATTAAATCACAGAATAAAAAATATGTTTCTCAACTTGCATCTTCTACTTTCAGTAGCAAAAATTTGGAGAGCTAACTTTACCATCAAGTATTATTTAAAATGAGCTTGCTAGAGTTATGTTTAAAGTGAGATCGGTAAAAAGTTCTAAAACTTTATACCTGAAGCATATCCCTAACTATATGCTCCATAAAGTACTAGGTGACTTGCATGGAAATATTCCATCCAATATATCATCAAAATAACAGACAACAAAGAATAACTACCCCATTTTACTATAACTCATTGGTTAAAATTTTAAGTACCTTGAAAAACATCATCCTGAAAATTAAATTACCAAGGTCCCAGATTCATTATCCCTTTACTATTTACGAATATGATGACAAAGTACATAATTTTCATTTTAATATACAGAGTTAAGATATACATAGATAGATGAGAGATATGTGTGCATGTGTAACATATATAAAATCAACAAATACCTTTAATAACAAAACAGCATTTCCAATTTAAAATCATAAAATTGCATGCTCACTCTAACTTTTAAGTTTCTGCTTATGTAACTTTCTCAAATAGTAGCCAGACTTTTTCAATGTCGAATAATGAATTAAAAAGCCAAGACAAGTTCCCATTCCTCCAAGGAAACAAAGGATGTGTACACACACACACACACACACACACACACACACACTACACGGTTTTGCTCTTGCACATAAAGTTTCATGAATCAAGTCCAAAGGAACTGTTATCTATCATATAATCACACTTCGAGCACACAGAGTGAGCTTGCAGCCTGAAAATAACAAACGCACAAAACAAGGTTATCTGGGATGAACAGGAAAATCTTCATCTTTTCCCTGGAAATAAAGTCTTGGCTTCAAGAAGTACGTGGCAAAAACTAATCACGGGTCAACACTGGAATCTACAGCTCTTGTGACCAAAAGGGTTTCGAATACGAGGGAGCAGAAGGGCCTGGAAGAGCCAGCCCAGCGTGGGGGTGAGCCTGGCCACAACCTGAATGCCTCTGGCCCACCTGAACCTTCCATCCCCCGCAACAGCGGGCCCCGAGAAATGGACGGCTTCTTTCCTGTTCACCTCTCCCCTCAGCACAGCTCCCAGCCCGCCATGTCTACCTGACAAGTGACAGCCAATCTGATTAAATGCTTCCAGGGAGGGGACTGGGGGCCTCTATGACAGGCCAAAAGTGATCACCATGGAGATACATAATTACAGCTGTCAGCGCGTCCACTGTCCTGCTGACATCAATTTGATGGCGCCCAGCAATAATGATAGACAAAGCTTCGTGTGCATTCCCCAGCACCCAATCACTTTATCTATTCCGTGGTCCATTTAGCTGACATGCGACATTCACACAAGCAAATAACAGCAGTGAGCAGAACATTTAAGGCATTTTAATTGTTTTTTCTTTCTATGGATGGCTCACAACCGCAAATGTTATTACATAAAACTCCTGCGGCAGCATTAATTGAAGAAAGATTTGGTGGGACAAAGCCTGTAGGGGGTAGAGTTTGTCCATTATCACTTGTACTTTCAACAGGTCTCACGTTTGAAAATTGCAAATTGCAAAAACTTGCGAGGGCAAAATGTTTGACATCCTGCTAGCGATTATGACATGGTAGAAACTTCTAACAACTCAAGGAATCATTAGGCATCCTTATTTAATACTTTTTGCGTTTGATTAAAAAAATGTTTAGCTATGTCCCTCGGCTACTTGTTTTCTCATCTGCTATTTAGCGTCACATAATGCCTGTTAAGTCTTTACAATTTTTTTTTCTGCCTCCCAGCTTTGAACACAGCATGGCGCCTCCCAGCCGGGAAAGGGTCAAGTCCCTTTGGAAAGCACATGGGCAAAAACAATTTGAAAAGTGAAATAAATTGTGTATCCAGTAACATCTTCAAATTCAGAATTCTTCCTGTAATCTTGCACCAGCGCCGGGCGGGTCCTCAAACGGCATGATCTCCTTCACAGATGCAACGGCCTGCCCTCCACCAGCCAAGGCGATGTCACGCGAGGGAGCAGTTAGTACCTTGATTAAGAGAAAGGCTATGTCCTTGTTCTTTTTACACAGCACAATCTATTCAAAGAGCGACTATGAAATACAGAACAACTTGTGGAAAAAAAAAGTGGACAGTGATCACTTTTCTTTTACCGGTGTAAATAATAGGTACTTCTTAAAGTCCATGACAATGAGAGAATGGGGCACAGTTTGTTTCTTCTTTAATCCACTTCTATAAACAAGCTGGTTTGGTGCCTGGATCTTTTTGTGTCTGACTATCCGGGAAAGCTGCATCAGATTTAGTGAAATGACTAAATTGCAACACAGAAAGTTATTCTTAAGATTCCAAGAAATGTTTTTTTTTTTCAGTCTTAGTTTTCAAAAGAACTGGGAGCATGGTAACTTTACTCACTCAGAAATCACATGCTTCTGGTCTTCCTGGCAAGTTAATTCTGACTTTCCTATAAACTATAAAGCACGAAACTTTTTTTTGTTAGGTATGATTCTGCAAGAATTCCACTTGTCCTTTCATTTACACACTTTAAAGTTAACACACTTTAATAGAAGAGTACGGCAAAATTCCATATTTGAAGCTCTGACTATATTATAGCTGAATACTTACACCAGGCAAATGTGTGGGTTCTTGGTACTGAGATAATCTCCCAATAGACGGTAGGCCGAAAGACTTGTAGGGGTCCTGAAAGGTCAAAGGAAAGGAAATGCAGTCTCTGAAATATAAATCAGCACAAAGAAGGTTCGCTATTTTTATAAACCCAAGAGCTTTAATAGAGCTATTTCCAACACCCAGTCTTTACCCAAGAACAAACCTCCAAATACTGTTGTGCTACACACACCCTCTTGACAACAGAGCAGAGCATTTAAAAATCAGACACAACTGTAAGCAGAATTTAGTCTGACCTTGACTGCACGCTACTGAAACTGGTAACATTCCAACTTTTTATAAATCTTTTTAGAATGCCTTGGGCAAAAATAAAATAACCTAGGCACTACATCAAAACACGCTCAAGGTCAGAACAACAAATGTGGTATACTACAGATATTTGTTTTTCTTACTCTTAAAACAGTGCACATATGGTGAGAGTGAAGAATTCTGGTTCTTCAAGTAAAGACCTTAAAAGGGACTCTGCCTGTGCTACTGGAAATGTACACCATTTTTCACTATCTTAGATCATCAGAATAAATGTTACATAAGTCCAGTTTCATAGTGATAATGAAGAAAAAAATACTGACTGAAGTATAACAGAAAGCAAGCAGCAACAAACCAAAACGAATTCCCCAAGGTACCTAGGCTAGCAATTCCCAACAACTTACAGTGTTCTTAAACACAAATAGTACTCATTTATTTTTATGTCAGTGGGCCAACTTCAACGTCTAAAAGTAAAAGGCAATATAAAGCTTCCTTCCATTTTTGCTTTAATCATTTTCGGAAAAAAAGCATTTTCAGATGTCAAAGCTTACCCGATGAATATAGTCATAAAACCAAAAAACGTATTCGGCTGAGAGCTGACTAAAATCTAATGACTAAAATCACGAACAGCTTTATCAAAAAGCCCTGCCATTTAAATTTCAATTTTTGCTTTCACATAATCGGAAGGGATAAACTATTAGGGAAAAGAACTATTGGAGAAAAAAATCAATATTGAATTCACGACTAATGTGTGCACTGGGGAAAAGTTAAAAAAAAAAAAGAAAGAAAGAAAGAAATCATGGACCAACACTTTGGCTTATTTCAATGAGTCTGAAAACAAATGAACCCATGAAAAGCAAATGCAACCCCAACCTGTGGGTTACCAGGTCCCAGAATATTGAACCCATGCTCCACTGGCTCTTATGCTGCCCAGGAGCTATGCCTGCACCTAGGAAGCGATAAGGGAAAATTAATTACATTCCATCCTTCCCAGCTACTTGGAGCTCTACCACAGTGATCGAAGCTTCTCTGATTCAATTCTGTATGACAGACTCGAGGCCGGATCCCAGCCGCGAGCGCGCTCTTGTTGCTCAGCTGTGAGTGGTGGCCGAGCTGGGTCACACCACCCTTCTCCCCGCGGACATCATTCACTGTACCTCAGCATAAACCCGACACTCGACTGCCCAGCCGTTGATGGGAATATCAGCTTGTTTGTGCCGGAGAGGGTAGCCCTTGGCAACACGGATCATTTCTTGGACCAGGTCCAGGCCGGTAATGCATTCTGTGACGGGATGCTCGACCTGCCGAGCCAAGAGCAGCCGTCAGTGGGGGTGGCAAAGGCAAAGAAGCAGAAAGACCCACACCCCCGACGGGTGAAAGGCGGCCGATTCCCCTTCAGGCTGTGTTAAGCTGGAGGGAGGACACCCCCACCTGGGAGAATCTACCAGAAGCCTCTGCTTCCCGGCGTCCAAACCTGATGTGTGTGGGGGGGGGGAGGAACACCTATGAGAGCTCCGAGCAAATATCCCTATCGCTTCCCCGCTTTCCCACTGGACATGGAACGCGTCTGATTTTGACACAGTCTTCGCTGGAGAGCCACCTCCTCGGCGGCGATCCCCAGGAACCGGCCTGTTTTGCTACACTTAGCGTGGCAGCTGGAGCAGCAGAGCGTGGCTTGGCAGAGCAGCCGGCTGGCCGCCGCCTCGCCCACTTGCATGCTTTCACTAACCCACCCTGACAGGCAACCAGATTAGCGTAGGCTCGAATCAGCGCGGCCGAGCAGAAAGCGGCAGATGGGTCCGGCAGGTTGTTTCCCCCTGCAGGCTTAGGTGAGGAGCGCTGAGCACGCACAAAAGCCGGACGGGCTGGGAAAACGCCCTCCCTCTCAGCAAACTGCTGACAACGGCCGGGGAAGGGGCTGTTGGGGGGAATCCCAGGCCTTCCACAGCAGCACCTGGGACACACATGGACAAGATGAGGTTCTCGCTGCGTGTAGTCCGCCCGCGGCGACCGTGGGCACCTTCCTCACCCCAACTGGCCGCAAGGAGACCGGACAGCCAGCAACTGGCCTTCCCCAAAGTCTAAGTTTTAAAAATTTAAATACGACTCTGGCCACATCTGCTGCTTCGACAGCGATTTCCCGCCCCCCTCATCCAGATGAGGCACATTCTAAACCCACTTCACAATAGTTTCTTTCTCGTGACATGTCATATCTCATACACTCTGGGGCACAGGAAAAGGTCAGTGAACAAAAGAATCGTTCCCCCCATCTTTGACGGCACTAATTGAGGGACAGGACTTGGTCATTATAATAATCTTGAAGCTTATCATAAGCAGACAATGCCATGGTCTGAAAAAAAAAAGCTTTGTAAAAATAAACAGATGGCACCCATAATTAGCTCTGTGTGTGTTATGAGTATGTTTACAGTTTCAACAACATTTTAAGACATTTTGACATAGTTTTAATGACAAATCATCACTAAAATAAGCATCTACCCTTTCTGCAAAATAAATGCAACGCTAAATAAAGAGCTTATTTGATGGTTTAAGATATTTATTTTTGAGAGCGAAAGGATGGTTTTGCCAGATCCAAGACTCCGTACAAGAAAGGGATGCATGTAAATCGCCTCTATTTCCGCGTGAGCTGAGCCCACTACGGGCCAAGGACGTTACAGCGATACTATTCACACTTCCTCAGCAGGTGAGGAAAAGACAAAAGCTAAGGGAATGATGTCAATTCGTTGATGCCCAGTGCCCAGAAAAGGCCAGGCAAATAAATACATATCTGCTAACTAAACAAATGAGTGAACAAACAAACAGCTTCTAGAAAATAGCCCAAGAAGAGAGAGAGGCGCGCAGGATTGATATCATATCAGCGCATTGATGTATGACCGTTTTGCCTTCCTCAAGGAAAACCCTTAGTGGAAGTAGGTGGCAAAGACAAATGCCTAAAGGGGTCAGAGAGACTGAACAGTGAGTAAAGCGTTTTCGCCTTGTACATGGGTTTGATCCCCAACATCCTATATGCTTCCCTGAGCCTGCCAGAAGTGATCCCTGAGTACAGAACCAGGAGTAAGCCCTGGGTGCTGCAGGATATGGCCACCAAACAAAAACAAATAAAAAGACAAATGGCTATAAACTATATATGTCATCTTTTATAAAATGTATTGGTATGAAAATATAAAATACCAATTCATTATAAGATTCTACTTAACCTCAGAAAATCTCTCTATAGTAGCATAAGGAGAGAGGTACCTTAGATTCATTTGAATGGGACTGAAAAATGGACCTGCCTTGAGACCCAACTCAAGCATTACAGAACTAAATACATACATAACACTGTAGCACTGTAGCACTGTCCTCCCATTGTTCATCGATTTGCTCGAGCAGGCATCAGTAATGTCTCCATGGTGAGACTTGTTGTTACAGTTTTTGGCATATCGAATATGCCGCAGGGAGCTTGCCAGGCTCTGCCATGCAGGCGGGATACTCTCGGTAGCTTGCCAGGCTCTAGCACAATTATTTCACAATCCACATTAGTGAGCTGCAGCTCCCTCAAAAGCAATCCATCGGGTAACTAGTTGCAAATGGCAAAAACACCCTTCATAAAATTTTCTTTTTAATATCCACTTGGGTTTAAGCATTGTTCAAGTCTACACAATCAACAAACTCGTCTGGATTTTTCAGGTAACAAATACCTTTTTAAAGGAGTCTGCAGTTCTAAACACCTCTGAAAGAAATCTCTCTTAAAATATTTCAGAATTGGGGCTGGAGCGATAACACAGCGGGTAGGGCGTTTGCCTTGTATGCGGCCGACCCGGGTTCGATTCCCAGCATCCCATATGGTCCCCTGAGCACCGCCAGGGATGATTCCTGAGTGCAGAGCCAGGAGTAACCCCTGTGCATCGCCAGGTGTGACCCAAAAAAGTAAAAAAAAAAAATTTCGGAATTCTGAAGATCTTCCACGGGACCTGCGGAACATGTCTTTTAGCCCCTTTGTTATTCCTGTCAAAAAGCCTCAACTCTCTCTTTTTTTTCTTTTGCCTTTTGCCTTCTGGGTCACACCCAGCGATGCTCAGGGGTTACTCCTGGCTCTGCACTCAGAAATGACTCCTGGCGGTGCTCAGGGGACCATATGGAATGCTGTTAATTGAACCCGGGTTGGCCGCGTGCAAGGCAAACACCCTCCCTGCTGTACAATCACTCCAGCCCTCAACTTTGTTTCCATGAGCTGGTGTAGCCCCTCACCAGAGCAGACCTCACAGTCTCCCTCCATGGGAGGAGCTTCAGGGATCACCACAGAGATGGCTGAGTAGGAGACAAAACGGCCGTCAGACCAAAAGAGGATTCCATCGACACTCTAACATTATCTTTAAAAAGAAAGGGAAGGGAGAAGGAAGGAAGGAAGGAAGGAAGGAAGGAAGGAAGGAAGGAAGGAAGGAAGGAAGGGATGGCAGACTGACGGAGGTGAAGGAAGGCTAATGGAGCGAAAGGAGAGCAAGGTAAGGCCAAAAAGCCTGTCTCTCCAGACTCCAACAGGAACGAGCGTGGACTAGACACCCACCCCGTGTGGGCCAAGCTCCTAGTGTATCAGGAAGGAAACATATACTTTATGTCTATTTGGGAAACTCGGAGCAAACCAGAGCTGAATGGAGCTTCAAAGAAACGCCCCTCAGACTCAGAGTCAGCCGCACGCCCCCATGCTCTGCTCTCAGGGGCTTGGCGTGCTGATGGCGAGCCAGGCACTCCTGGCCTTGGCAGAGCATCTTCATGGGAAGAGACATCCCCGGAACCCACTTGTAGAAACAATACCTGGGGATATTAAAAATGCAAAACAAAACATCTTTGTGTGACTATTCCCACACCTGACTCCCCCACCATCCTCCCAGCAGGTTTCAGGAAACACAGAAGGGCCCGCAGGTCATGTAACCATCCACTAGACTACACTGACTTTCTAGGAGATAAAGCTGCTGATTCTGTCAGGGGGAAAAAAACAAAAACCTTTGCCTAACCTAACCCCTTGGAAAAAAAGATGGCTCCTATGAAAAAAAGCCAGAATAAGCCCTAAAATTCCTGCATCATCCAAGACAGATTACAAAGTGAGCTCCACTCGGGGACGCAGCAGTCATGAGTCTTTTGTCCAAACAGGTAAAAACAACGACAGTGACCAAATGCCACCCTGTGCACAGACTCCGGCTTCGTGCATACTGCTGTGGCCCTGGGCCTCCTGTGACTACCCCCCCCAATGGTTTCGGTCCTCAGGAGGCTGCTGATTCTGTGGTAGTTCAGGTCTAGCCTCTCAACCAACACTCTCTCTGAGTGGTGCTTCAGCTCATCTCTTCCTGCCAAAGCCAACGATCATGCTTGGGAAAGGTGACAGAGAGGTAAATTAGGAGTCGCTGCACCTCTGAGCTCTGAAGGTACCAAACTGCAACGGTGAAGAACGTTGGGGACGATGAATCCTCCCGACACTGTGCGTCCACATGCATGAGACCCTGACACTGCCAGATCCTCTTCAACCTTATTTCCTCCTTCAGTGCAAACTGGATGGTTCTAAAACCAGTGGCAATGATGAGTCCTTGTCAGGGTCACCCACTATCTTCCCTTAAGAGACCCTGTTGGTGGCCCGGGGCTACGGGTGGCCCTGGGGTGGAGAACCTAGCAGGACTTAGCCAAAAGGCGATCAAGAGTCTCCCAGCTCAGAGGCTGAAAGGAAAACACCACAACAGCTCCCATGGGACGGTCATGGGCAAGCTCACCAAAAAAGGTGAAGCCGAGCTTCAGATGGAAAATAGTAAATGTAACAGAGACACCAGAACCAGGATATTTTTGTCATAAAATAAATCAGTGACTAGCAAGGAGCCCAAAACTCTTCTCTACCTACCACTTTCCTTTTCAGAAAAAAATTTACTGAAAAATCCCACCCCCTCACTCCCCACTATCCACTGTTCCTCAAGGGTACTACCATACCCACACCACACATTCTCTCTCTCTCTCTCTCTCTCTCTCTCTCTCTCTCTCTCTCTCTCTCTCTCTCTCTCTCTCTCTCCATTCCACTGGGCAGTGGAGGGCTCTCTCCTAGTTTAGACTGGGCTGTGCTGACAAGCCCCATGAATATCCCGAGGTTCTAATGGCTTGGAGGTCAGTACAGGAATTTCCTCATCTAGGAAAAACTGCCATGCTTAGTCGGAAAGGGGAATTCACCTCACAGTTTCTTCTGACAAGTTTCAGGTAGAATCAATCTGGACAGCCCAAGGGGCCGGAGAGATTACAGCGCAGAAGGCCCTTGCCTGGCATGCAG